CGGTGAGGAGAGGGCTTTTCGTTCATATTTGTTACAGAATGTATATAGACTTCTTTCCTTGTACTGTACATAACCATATATAGGTAGCATATCCTTAGGATTCCTTCTTTATTTCTTTCCCTAGTTAGCTCCTAATGTACTGTATTTTTAACCATATATAGGTACAATATTGTTGGCTTTTCGTTCTGCATCTGGCTTGCATATGGAGTGTTTCCTACTTTCTATTAGTCTTTTCTCACACATCGATTATAGTTAATTATACATCTCTTCTACTTTAATGGGTATTTGCAACTCTTCTTTCTGTCAATCTTTGTTGTTAACTTGATTTATTGCATTATAGATTATCACTAATGAAGATCTTGAAGAGTTAAAGGAATTGGGTTCTGGAACATTTGGGACCGTATATCATGGAAAATGGAGAGGGACTGACGTTGCCATCAAGAGAATTAAAAAAAGCTGTTTCACAGGTCGCTCATCAGAGCAGGAGAGATTGGTGAGTGTCTTAAAGTAATAGCGTATTTTATTTCTGCTGCAATATGAGTAACAAATGTGCAGTTTCCAGTAGATGGTCATCTTGAACTGCAAAATTTGCAAAAATAAAACTAACAGAAGCTAAAAAGTTATACAACCATGTTATTGTTTTTTTGAGAAGGAAATCCATGTTATTGTTTGCACCGTCTATATCTCTATATCATGGTAGAAGCTGTGAAGTGTTTTCTTGTTGGCTCTGGGTTTATGAGATCTAGCGTAAATTGTACACCCAATTGATATTTTGTATCATTACAAGTTACTTTATACATACTTGAAATGGTTTTTATCGCAGTACAGAAAGAGACGGAGTGAGTTCCATTGTAGTCTAGAATTTTATAAAATTTTGAACTTGTAGAAGCATTTAAGTACATAAATTGGTCATGCTTCTGCTTTCTTTGCACTAGCTATTTCATGATAGAACTTGGGAACTATTTCCAGACTGTGGAGTTTTGGCGTGAAGCTGAAATTCTTTCAAAACTACATCATCCCAATGTGGTGGCATTTTATGGTGTTGTGCAAGATGGGCCAGGGGGGACTCTTGCCACAGTAGCAGAATTCATGGTGAATGGTTCTCTTAGACATGTTTTACTTTGCAAGGACAGGTGCAGCAATACTGGATAGTACACTTCTTAAACTATTCATTTCGTTTTCTTTTTTCTCTAGAAAACTTATTATGTTCTCCTCCCTACTCGAACTGTCCAGACACCTTGATCGTCGCAAGAGGCTCATAATTGCAATGGATGCTGCATTTGGAATGGAATATTTGCACTCAAAGAATATTGTGCATTTTGATCTGAAATGTGACAATTTGCTTGTCAACTTAAAGGATCCTTCTCGACCCATTTGTAAGGTGACTTCAAGAATGTGCTGCTTTTGAATTTTTTCGATGGGTGCTGTATTTGCAAGAATTTGCTGGTTTTGATCTGAAATGCGACAATGTGCTTTGTCTTTCTATACCATACAAGTCTCACAATCATAATCAGCTTATTAGCCAATATATTAGTAATACCCTTTGAGAGGAAATAGATCTAAAACATTTATAATGCGGTTAATCCCGCCTTGATCCAAGCTATTATTGCGAAAATTCTTGATACAACCATCTGTAGACCAATAACAAGCAATAGATGGAATACCACAAGAGGACTTGTACCTATAAAAGTGTGATTTTCGTAATCTTTACACATTTTCTAGATCTAAGGTTGTCTTTTCCGGATTACTAGCTTAAAATGATAATGCACTGTAAACATCTTCTTCAGTCACTTCGATAACCACTCATTATACTAAGTTACAAGTTTAATGTGACAATTAATTCTTCGTCAAGTAAAGGACAGCAAAGATGTTGTGTAGGGAACAACCCAAAGCTAATGAAAATCGTGTTCTGTATAGGTGGCTGATTTCGGACTGTCAAAAATAAAGAGAAATACCTTGGTTACTGGTGGTGTCAGGGGAACGCTTCCTTGGATGGCTCCAGAACTATTGAATGGTGGCAGTAACAAGGTTTCTGAGAAGGTAAGCTTTCAATCCTATTTTTTATATTAACCTCTTCACATGTGAATGTGAAACTTAGCCTATTTCAGACATCATTTTTCACTTCGTGTGGGGTGTAGCGAAGGGGCATACTTAATGCTTATCAACTCAACCTGCTGTTATTGATTTTTCGCCAACTTCAAGAATCTGATGGATTGTGTGGTCTCTTTGTTTCATTAGTTTTGCGTTTAAGCTTCTGCATTCAATAGCCTCTATTTTCTTGCAACACTTCCTTCTAATTTTTCCTTTGAAATGTTGTTTGACCAAAACTTTATCAGCAGGAATTTCACTTTTTGGATAGAAAGAACCATGAAAAAAATGCAATCCTATACGCACTAGTTGCCATTCGTAGTGACAAATCAAAATTTTGCAGGTCGATGTCTTTTCCTTTGGGATTGTGCTGTGGGAAATCCTTACTGGCGAGGAACCTTATGCTAATATGCACTATGGAGCAATTATAGGTTTGTTTTACTCAATCCCTTCCAACATTTTGCTCTTGCTATTGCTTATTGCACTTTGTGCTGTCATTTGCTGCCTGCATCTGACAATAAAATTACTTGCTATATCCTATATTTCCTGCTAAATGACGCCTTAATGAAGGATAAAGGCTGGAGTGTTAAGAGTCCAGTCTAAAAGTAAGCAACAGAAGGTTGTTTCTTCACTGGAAAGTAAAAGCACAACATTTATAGATATATTTAGTCAATTCAGGCGCTTCCAATTTTTATCCTCTAATTTCTGAAGTCCGCTACACTTTAAAAAAAAATCAATATCTAGAACTTCGTGATCAAAACTTTGGTCTTCTCAAGTTAATAAGATGTTTTTTTATCTTAAAACTATATCTGCAAGGGCATTCCATAAGTGGCAATATTAAAAAAGATATTGAAGCCTAACATGGTTCAACTAGTTTAATGCTTGTTCCTATTCCCTCTAATCTCTTACCTAGGAAGCCACTTAGAATGTCAGGTGCAGCTTGAACATACAAGAAAATACTTGGTATGTGGAACTGAGAATTGAAATGCACCGAAAAGACAAGTTATATAGTATTGAAGTGAAATGGGCTCGAATAGAGCGAAGATTATATAGAGGATTCTTATAGCTGACCCCAACTATGTTTAGGATTGAAGTGAAATTGATTTGATTGATAGACATCTAGAATAGAGCACCACTCCCCTCAACCCTACTTAATCTTCATTCCTTTTAATTCTCTCTTTGTTTTGGTCTTTTTCCCATTGTGTTCCACTCCTCATTCTCATGCAGGAATCCCTTGGTGGTGTCCCTCCCTGTAGTTTCTACTAGTTCTAAGCTGGGTAGAAATATAAAGAAATGGTGTGATCGATCCTACGTAAAAGCTGAAAGCTATACAAACCACAGATGCAGTTTGGAAATTAATGCAGTCTTGTATCCTTCTTAAAAGCAGGCTTGTATCGTTTGTACTGTATGCAGGTGGTATTGTAAGCAACACATTGAGACCGCCTGTGCCAAGCTTCTGTGACAGTGAGTGGAGAATGCTTATGGAACAATGTTGGGCTCCGGATCCTGCCATCCGCCCATCTTTCAGTGAAATTGCTAGACGCTTACGTGCCATGGCTGCTGCCTGTCCAACAAGACCACAAGCTCATCCAACCCAAAATAAGCAACCCAAGTGATGGTGTGGCGTCTTCTTTCCTGGTATCTGTGGCGGAAGTTTCTTATGAGTAGTTTCTAAGTATAGTCTGTTTATTCTGTAACATTGGAGTGAGGAGAGTGGTCTCCTTCAGGGTGTGAAACAACATTGTGAAAAAACTAATGAACGATAGATTATATATATTCCCGTTAAAAACATGAAAATCTTGTTACATATTGCAATTTGTAAGGCATCATTTGTATCTATGATAAATGGAAATGTAGCTTTGGCCTTAGAAATGCTTGGTGATATTACAAGTTTAAGTGATTTTATTTTGCCTCTATTTGGAGTTTGCTTCGTTTGGCAACTAGAGAAGGGGAGTGGATAGGAGGTAAGAAAAAAATTATTATTAATTTTTTTTTTTCTGTTATACAAAATGCAAAAGAAAATCAGAAAAAAGGAAAAGAGCAAATGGATCTTCTCCTAACTTTTTCTCCATTATTCTAGAGGGGAATATAGTGAAAAATTATAAGGAAAACTATGGAAATTCTTTTCGGTAATAAAGTATATTCATTGCTTATCATCTCGTATAAGCAAATTAGGAGAAGGTTATATTCGCTAGTTCACAATGCAAATGGAAGTCTACAGGAGATTATTTTGAATTAGGAAACTGGATGTTTTTTATGTTCCCATCGAGGCAATTATATTTTAGTATTTTCAAAGCCAGCAATGTTTTATAATTTAATCTAGGGAAAAGGCCCAAAAATGACCTTGTGGTATTCGAAATGAATCAATTATAACCCCCGTTTAAATTTGAATCCAAAAATGACCCTGCCGTTATAAAATGGGTCTAATAATGCCCATGTGTTATTCAAAATGGATCAATAATGCCCTGGAATTTTTTTATTTTATAAAAATACTTTTAAAAACTGAAAAATATATATTCTGTAAAAACTAGAAAAAGAAAGGAATTGCAAAATATATATTTTTAAGTCTTTTCAGTTTTTTCAAAGTATTTGTTTTGTAAAAACTGGAAAAAAAATATTTTTTTAAAAACTGGAAAAAAAACTCTCCTAAAGCAGTGGACTACATATGCATTAGTTTTTAAAAAATAAAAATATTTTGCAAAATCTTTTTTTTTTCAATTTGACGGTTCAATATTTTTTCGGTTTATTTTTATAAAATAAAAAATCTACCATAATTATCGGTACAGTTATAGATTTATATAAAAACATATGGTTTTATTAAAAAAAACCTAAAAATCGGTTCGGCACCGTACGATTATGTAGGTTTAATCGGTTTTTAAATATTCATTTACACTGACATATAACTGTAAATGAATATTTAAACCGACTAAACCGACATATAGATGTAAATGAATATTTAAAAACCGATTAAACCGACATAATCGTACGGTGCCGAACCGATTTTTAGTTTTTTTTTAATAAAATCGTATGTTTTTATATAAATCTATAACTGTACCGATAATTATGGTAGATTTTTTATTTTATAAAAATAAACCGAAAAAATATTGAACCGTAAAATTGAAAAAAAAAAGATTTTGCAAAATATTTTTATTTTTTTAAAACTAATGCATATGTAGTCCACTGCTTTAGGAGAGTTTATTTTTTCCAGTTTTTTAAAAAAATATTTTTTTTCCAGTTTTTACAAAATAAATACTTTAAAAAAACTGAAAAGACTTAAAAATATATATTTTTCAAATTTCTTTCTTTTTCTAGTTTTTACAGAATATATATTTTTCAGTTTTTAAAAGCATTTTTAAAAATAAATAAATTTCCAGGGCATTATTGATCAATTTTGAATAACGCAAGGGCATTATTAGACCCATTTTATAACGGCAGGGTCATTTTTGGATTCAAATTTAAACGGAGGTTATAATTAATCCATTTCGAATACCACAAGGTCATTTTTGGGCCTTTTCCCTTTAATCTAAAACTTTTTGAAGGCGTATTTTGTTTTTTCAACTTGTACGTTTAATGCAACCAGTTGAACATATAAATCTGTGGCATCCATCTTTGGAGAAGCATTAACAAAACAGTTACTATTACTTATTATACAAAAGAATTGTAATGCAACTAACAGTAATAGTTCTCTTTTTCCACTTATTCAAACACAATAAAATCTTTAACCACTTGAAGCAAACTTTCACTGTTGAGTTACAATCTACCACACCTGAACTTATTGATAACTATAAGAAGATATCATGAAAAAAGTTATATACATATTTGATAATCATTTGATGCGTGAGATCAGATGACAGACTCTGAACAAAATCCATAATATTTCGAATTGATCGTCAAATAAATTTACACAAAGAAGATCTGTCCAACATTCAAGAGGCTCTCGTGAGGTATATTGAAGATGACACTATTTTCCCTGCATATTTTCCTAAGAAATGCATATATATAGTCTATAGCTAGTTTCTTATAAAACCTGGATTCCCTTCTTGCTCTTATTACAGTGTTCCCAAGTATGTGTACAACACCAGCATCTCTACAATTATTTAAGAATTCCATTTCATCAACTTCTGTCTGTCCGCTCTCATGTCCTGAGGATGTGATTGTGTTGTTTCCCTGAGGATGAGATTTGACAGGGGCTATCGAGTCCATTGATGAATAACTGAGCTCAATATTTGCAGTAGAAGAGCTCCCGTTATCTCTCGAATGTTGTGTTTGCTGTCCGTATAAGCTGTATTCATCAGAGTCGGAGCAACCATCCATCATGGACTCCAGTCGAACAAACATAAAGAGGTTATCAAAGAGTTTTTTCTCAAAGTCGTCATCCTTCTTATGGAGGTCTTTGTAACCGTACCTTGCAACACATCGAAACATGTGAAAATTCTTTGGTCCTATCCGTTTCACAAGGAATCTCTCATCTTCTGGAACTGTGTAAACAGGAAGATACTTTACACAGACAAATACCATAACTGAGTGTATAGCAGGTAGGTTGGTAATGAAGTGAGAAAAGATGTGTGGCACTCCACTAGCTAGTTCGGTGTACACAAGTCCAATTCCTGGCACACGTACCAATCCTAAACTGGGGCCAAGTCCAAGAATCCATGCCATAGATACCTTGCTGTGCATCTCAAATTCATAACGTTTCACTGTTCCATAATGCCATACATACATGATCAGAAGAAAAGCTGCAGCAATCACAAGAGGAACCCAACCACCCTGGTCAAGCTTAAACAATACTGCAGAGAAGTAGGTACATTCAACCACCAGAGATAAGACAGTGAAGATAAGAACAACAACCCAATGGCAGTGCCAAACTAGTAACATTATCAAAGTCATGAGGAGTGTCGTCACCAGCATGACTATCACGACTGCTGTTCCTGTTGTTCAAGAAATGCCATGTCAACAAGTGAGTTTCAAGATGAGGCTCAAGTATGGTGTCAACAGTAAATACAAAAACCAAAGGCAAGGAAGAAAATTCAAAGCATGGCTAAACATGAAATGATGGAAAATGGTTGAGTACATCTTCTGGTTTGACTTTGTTGAGACAACTTTAAACTAATGCGCTACTTTTCTTTTATTGCTGAACCATTACAGAGACCCCATCTTTCTCTCCTTCAAATGAAAATGCAAAAAACAAAAAAGAAACTTAAACCATATATGACTGATTAACTGTTGCTAAAATTAAACTCTATTGCATATAAATGTCAGCAAAAACACAGTGAGAACTTCAGTAACCTACGATGACCTGATTAAGTACCACAAAGATAGAAAATCAACATGCAACCTAGAAAATCAACATGCAACTGTTTGATTGCATTAACTCTTATCAGCAAAATAGAGCATAACAACTAGTAAGGACATTAAAGGAAGACAACAAACAGAAATAGATTTGTAGCTTGAGCACTGTCCCCCGGGAAATTTAATCTTATCAAGACTTAAATCTATCATTGCATATGTAAAAGGCCAAACGGAATCAAGATATATTATTAGCAGCAAGACACAAACTCACCGTAAGCATTGCCTATTTGGCTTTGATTTTTAAATCCAGCAGTAACGGCAATGCAAAGAACCATAAGGATCCAATTTATATCAGGAATATATATCTGCCCTAAGAACTTCTTCGATGTATGTACAACCTTGACTCTCGGAAAACAGCCAAGTGCTAGAGCTTGCTTGATTATGGAAAACGTTGCAGATATGGTAGCTTGACTTGCAACAATAGCAGCTAGAGTTGCAATCACAAAAACTGGCCAGTATATGCTTTCTGCATTATGGAAACCATGTTATTTTTGTCAGGTACATTATAACTTGTAAATTTGGTAATTGATGTCACCTTTATTACTAACATTTCCTCCATTCTATTTTCTTCTTTGTTTCCCCACTTTTCTTCAAAGGAGGGCTGAAAATGGTAGTTCGTCATAAAGATTGTACACTATCACTTGATATATAATCCAATTAATACTTTTCTCATGTGTGTGAATTAGAAGACGTTTTGCTTTGTACTATTAACAGAGTAAGTTATCAAACAATATCACAGATATATGCTCATAATATTTAGGAATTTATGTACATAATTCCAAGCCACAACCTCCACCCCATGGATATAAAGATCCTGGCCTACCCAAGGCATGAATATTAATCATTAGAGCATGTTAAATGTTAATATAAACAGGATATGGGGAACCAGCCTCAGTGGTAGTATTCAAGTCTTGTTACATGGGAAAAAAAGAAGCATCTATGTCTGGTACATAACTAGAAGGGTCATTAACTAACTCAAATACCAATCATCAAAAGCAAACTCTGAAGGAGCAAGGCACACTGAGGAATCTCTTTAACATAGTTCCTTCAATAAGCCATAAATTCTGGGGCCTAAGACACAGCTCAAGATTGCCTCTCTTAATTTTCCATTATAAGAGATAAGGTTCCGTCTAGAAAAGTGTGCTTCTTTGTGCGATTGGCAGCTAGGTAAGTGATACTGACAGCCGAGAATCTGAGGAAGAGGAGGATCATACAAGTCAACTGGTGCTATGAAGGGAGAGAAATAGGAGAGCGTTTGAAGGGGTCGAGATTGATTTTGCACATGTGAGGAGTAGCCTCTTGTCTCTGGTTTCTTTTGGATGCACTCATGAGGTCCTTGTTTGTATAGATGAGTGGGTGAATTTTGTAGAGAGCCATATTTGAGTAGGTTTCTCTATTTTTTGGTGTACTTCTTGTATACGGGTATTTCCCAACATTAATAAAATTATTTACCTTATCAAAAAAGAGATATTCAGTATTTAGCTTTTATAGGTTGTTGGTGCATGATTTAAGAATTCTGCATTTGTAAAAGATCACTTAAACAGAAATTGGATAAGACCCTGTAGGAAAAAGAAAGTCTCAGATTCTCCTTTCTATCACCGCTCTTCTGCCTCACCTTGCTTGTGACAAGTCCTCCTTAGGCGTCTCACTCGTGGGAACATGCTATTTTGCTGTGTACTGAATGTGCACTATGCAAAAGATACTCCAGTCTGCACTCAAAGCTCTATCGATATTACGACTTCTTAGGTCTACATACTGTTAATCCGTTTTATCACAATTGAGGAGAAAAACAAATACCTCTAACATACTCACAGTTAGAGAGCAAGAAATACCTGGAATAGATCGATAGAATGCATCAACAACATGATCCTTATTTTGCATGAGGTATGCTGCTTGTCCAGAATAAGCTAGAAGAAGGCATGGGAAACAAACGACCGTGAAAGCAAGTTGTATTGCTGACACTGGAAAATGAGCAAGATCAGCAAAAAGTGCCTCTGTTCCTGAAATAGACAGCCAAACATATATAAGTAGGAACACACACACACATTTCTTTTTGCACTAATAAACTTTTGTCTAAGAACACACAGAAGAGGTGTTTGAAAAAAGGGGAAAGGTCAAGAGGAAAAGACCTGTAATGCTGAGCATGATCCCTCCCAGTGATGTCCAACCTTCACTTTTTCGCCTTCTAAAATACCGATATATGTAAACCGGAGAAAAAGCCCGCAAAACAGAGCTATCATATTTCCAGATATTATAGATGCCAATACCTCCTACTAAGAGAAACCAAAGCAGCACAACTGGCGCAAACAGCCAACCCACTCTGTCTGTGCCATAATGTTGTAAGCTAAACAAACCAACTAATATAATGACAGCAACAACCACAACTACATCTGCATAAAGAGGAGCACAGACATGAATTTTTTTATCATCAATAACTTAAAGAGATGCAAGTAAACAAGATGTGATTAACAAAGAAAAATATTTGGAAAGTAGTGTAGTACCGTTACTCATCTTCGGATGGTCCACCTTGATCCCACCAGAAGCTGAAAGAACTGAGAAAAATATTCTGCATAAGTACTTATTTATTTCAAACTAAAAGTATACTTTTCTTTGATAATAATTAATGAACTTCAACTTAGTCATTAACAAGCTGACAAGTATAAGATGAACTTCACACTAGTATACCTGAAATGGCAGGAGTCAGAATTCCATCGCCGATTACCATGCAAGTGCCAACAACTACAAGAATAAGAAGTGCATTCTTCCTGAACGGATATGCCTCCAACCATCTTTTTGTTTTTGCAGCAAATGAATGCTCATGGAATGTGCTACGGCTGTAAGTTGTCAACTCCTCATCAGTTCGATGTTGGTTTGGAATTGTGTTTATCTTAGCATGTCGACAAAGTAACGAATAAAGAGCAAAAGTCCCACCTGAAAATGGTAAATTCAGTTATGCCATTGTAGTGCATCATAAAGTACATATGCTCTTGCATTGGGAAATGTAGCTGATGCTACTGCAGAGAGCCCTTTCAATTAGATTAAACTGATGAGTTACCAAGTAATAATTAGAAAATGTTTCTCTTGTTTCACTATAGTTACATATTCAGTTATGAGGAATTCAAAAACATAGTTAAAATTAAATGCCTGATTTTAACATGAAGCTCAATTTTACTTTGTGAAGCCTCCATAATATTATCAAACTTAGAAAAATTGGTTTGCTGCAGTAAATAAATAACCTCTATTGCTCAACAAAGCGGTGCACACAAAAAGCATTAATATTCCTTCATGAAAAGGCATTACTATCGATGAGACAATCACGTAAAAGAAGGTTCTTTTGGCAAGCAGTCTCGATAATTGAACTCTGATATCGCTTGTCAAGCTAGAAAATATTCAGCAAGGGCATTAATATAGATGAGAGATAATCTTATTAGCACATAATAGTATTTACTGTTGTTAATTTTAATTTACTGTAGCTTATATTTTAAATTTATCTTGTTTCCAATATTATAGGAGTTTGTTATTTAGTTCCTTGATTTCTGGTTTGTTCCACTATAGAAGGAGTACTATCTCAGTAACTCTGTTATAGGCTTGTGTATATATTGAGTTTATAGTCATTCAATAAAATCATCTTTCTTTTGTTTCATCTTGCTCAGTAATTATATGGTATCAGAGCAGTCTCCTAGACTCTCACGAGCTTTTTTTTCGATCCTCTGACTACCACCTCCGACACGCACTTAAAATGGCCCTCAATGTAACAAATGCTGACTCCACTAGCAACAACTCTAGTGCTATTATTCAGTTCAATCCTGTGTCGCAGCTGCCGATAAAGCTTATTGGCAGCCATAACTTTGCGACATGGAAAGCCCAGATTTCCATGCTCATGCGTGGGCACAATCTGTTCGGTCAAAGATGACGGTTCTTCTCCCACTCCTTCGACAACTATCACACAAAATGATAGGCAAGTGGAGAATCCAAACTACAACATTTGGTTCCGTCAAGATCAGTTGATCCAGAATGCCATAATGGCTTCTGTCGATTCAACAATAGCCGCAACTGTGGCTGCTGCCTCCACTGCTAAACTTGCCTGGGACTCGCTCCATATGGCTTATGCCAACAAGTCCCAAACGCGAGTCTTTAGCCTTCGCGATCAACTTGCACGACTGTCCAAGGACCCTCGCCCAGTCGCCGAATATCTCCATGAAGTGCGCTCTCTCTGCAACGAGCTTGCCACTGCCGGTGCTTCAATCTCCAATGATGAGTTGATTGTGAAAATTCTGAGTGGCCTATGGCCAGATTTTCGTGAGATTTCCGCTGCAATCCGAGCAAGAGATTCCATCATCTCTTATGAGGAGCTATATGCCAAACTGATTGATCATGAGCTCTTTCTCAAACATGAAGAAGTGAAGAAGGAAACAACACCAATTACTGCTGCTATGGTAACTCACAACAGATCCACCAATTCCAATAATCGCAGTGCTCGTCAACCCAACAACAACTCACAATGGCGTTACAACAATCGTAGTAATGCGCCTTCTCAAGGACGTTACATCAATAACTCTGTTCGTTGTCAGTTATGCAATAGACAAGGTCACACTGCAAATGTTTGTAGGTCACAGTCTCATAATCATTTATAGGCAAAGGCAAATTTTCTTTCAGGTATGCAAGCTGCACCCAACCAATGGATTGTTGTCTCCGGTGCTACTCATCATGTCACCACAGAGCCTACTAATCTTGAAGAATATAATGGTCCAGA